TTGTTTAAAAATGGTTGTTTTTTCAAAAAAAATATTTTTTTTAAAGTTGAGTGGTTTTCAACCCAAAGATGTTTTAAGTTTTTTTTTTCTTAAAAGTTTCACTAAGTGGGTACCACTAAAACTAATGTAACTTTTAAAGTACTAGAGAAAATTTTATTCTGTAAAGAGATTTAAAACTTTGATAAAATTTCTAAACATTTAACAAAACAGTTCAGATTTTCTTTATTTATCTAATAAACTTGCAAAATTGTTGAGTAATTCCTTATTTACGAAGTTATGCAAACACTCTCCCACCTCTTCACTCAAAAGCCTAATAGTTTTATGTTGTTTAACAAAAGTGGTACATTAAAAATGAGCTCATGCATTTTTTGAGTGATACTTTCTTTGGGAAAGCAAGCATGGAACTCTAAAGCAAATAAATTTATATAACTTATAAACTCACTCATTTCAGCATCAGAAAGAAATTTTCTCTCAAAATGTATTGGTTGCCACTTATTAAAAACGCTAAATATACGTATAAATCTATTCCTTATTGCTAAATCATCAATGATACTACAAAGTTTATAGTGGTTTCTTCAGACTATTTTGCAATGATTACCTACAAATACATTACCATTTGAGTTTGTGGCTGAACTTTTATATCACCAAGGGCCTGAAATAGAGCCCTTTCACATCACCCTCTGACATCCTAAACACTAATATTTTTTTATATCACACATTACACCCTTTTCAGAAGCACCAATAATTTCATAATATTGATAAAACCACCTGAGACACATCACACTCAAATCTAATGCTTGTACATGTTTTTTTCTTTTTTTTTCAAAGTTTTTACTTTTATTGGAGGAGTTTTGAGATATATGTTCTAATTGAGAAAAATCATTTTTACGGGCTATCCATTGTGCCTGTAGATTTTGCTATGTCAACAAATTGCTTACCTAATAAATGCAAGGCTTCTGCTGTATTAGAATATTCAATGCTTTTAGCAGCCCACATTTCACTCATTCTCACATTCACAATTAAATAAAGATAAATCAGCCTGACAATCTAAAGTCTTAGATTCCTTCAACAATAATTTAACTTCAAAAATGGAATTTCATATACTTTCCACCTTTATCTCTTGCAAAAAGGAGCCATTTTAAAAATTTTGATACCTTTTTGCCAAAACCAGTATCAGAGTTAAGATCCTGACTTTGAAGATTGTTAAAAACTTCTTTAATATAAGTTGTCTAGTTCTTAACAAATAATACAGAGACTGAACAAAGTGCTTCATTTGCAGATGGATAAAGTAACACGAACTTTACAATAAAATGTTCTTTACTGACATGCATTATCCGCATTTCTTTTCTTATCTTGGGCTCAGATGAGAGAATCTTTGCACCAAGATTACACAGAATATGCCTTAGCCTTTTGAATTCCGCCACAGACATCCTTAATTGACTCTGTAGCTCAACAATATCAGCAACACTTAACTGCACAATAAAACCTAACTTATTTGCAACACACTGAAGTATTGGCTTTTTATGAGACAGAGCATCACAAATAGCATAGACAAGTCACTTTCTAAATCTGAACCAACTATCAATTATGAATATATTTTTCAACAACTCATGATCAACTGACGTAGTATGAGTTTTACTTAAATTCACGAAAGAATTTAAAATTAAATTTAGTTTAAATAAGAGTCCACGACAATTAAATTTATTGCTGTTAACAAAACATTTGCAAACTTGGCAACTATACAGTTTTATACCAACTTTTGCAATATACTTTTTAAGTTAATTTTTTTTAACAACCTAGCATTTTTACCACTAGCAGATGCAAATTTTCTGTTTTTTTTTTTTTTTTTTCTTTTAGTTTAAGTTGGAGACACTCCTCCTGTTTTAACCTCATGCTCATATAACTAACCTCTCACATAGCTGTTTTAGCTTAATGCTCGTAGCCTCTAGTTGAGAACTTAATGAGTTACAACACATGTGTAGGGCCTCATTTGTAGAATTCAAATCCATAATTTTCGTTTCCAACTCTATTACCTGCATTTTTAATTTCTCTATTTGCTTTATTAGTTTTTTCTCTAGACGTTAATTGATCAATTTGAATTCTAAGCTCCTGATTCTAATTTAAAAAATTTTTTATCAAACTCATCAATACAAGGCAAATTAAACTCAATGGACAAAATAAAACTTAAAAAACTAAACAACACTTTATATCGAAAGACTCTGAGTAAAATAGAAATCACATTGATGGTGATTTTATCAGCATTAACCAATTGCTTAACAAAAGGAGAGTCTTCCCATCCAATATATAGTTTTAAGATTTCCCTCTCAATAGAATACATTGCTATAAAATTATGATAAATGTAATGATATAAATACAAACAACTCAAATAAAACAATATTTATTGACAAATAGATCCAGTAGATATAAAAGGATTAAGTAACTTATCTGATTACTAGTCAAACTCTCCACAAGCCAAGAAAAAACCCCGAATAAATTTTGTTTATTTTATACTTCAAAATTTTGTCTTGCTGAAACAGTAATTCGGTTGAAATTCATTAGATTTTAGCTTGGAGCATGACGCATTTAAAGTTACCTCAAAGCTTTAAAATGTAAACAAAAACTTTGCAAAAAAACTTTGATTTTTTTTGCTAGATAAGTTTGAAATCATTCTTGATAACATAGCTTAAGTTATAGAAAATTATTTTCATATTTTCATGTCCGTAGAGGGTTGAAATTTCAATAGTTTGGTGAACATTACAAAAGTAATGTTCATCAAACTATTAATTTACCTTTTAAATAAAAATACCTTTTTGATTTAAAACAAATAAAAACAAAAATATAAGTAAATTAAAAATCAACTTTTTGTTGAATAATTATCAATGTCCACCAATGTACTAAAATAGCTAACTATAGTTACTTATTTTATTAAAAGTTTATTTTATTAATTGTTTATTAGTTTTTTACAAATCTAACAAACAATTAATTAAACTAAGCACTAAGAAAAGATATAAAAATTAATAATATACTAATAAAATATATAATTTGTAATTAACTTTCAAAATTTTGACAAATTAAAAAATATATATTATAAAACATTTTTGTAAACAAATGATAATAGTTTAAAAGATTTACGGCTTTAGAGATGTGGCTCCGAGAATGAGCTCCGAGAATGAGCCATAATATTAAAGTAATAGTTCATTTGATAATATATACTATATATCTCAAAACACAACAAATTGTAAATAATACAATTTCTAAAACATTTCAACAGAATACTCTAGAACTTTATTTCGCTTAGTCAGCGTGTTTTTTGAACCAATAGAATTAGTTTCTTCGCAAATTTGGCAGGTTTTTAGTGTTCGCGAATATTCTTTTTATTCTTCCGCAAGATGTTTTAAGAACATTCAAGTTAATTATGTTTCCATGTATGCCTGTAAAATAAAAATTAATATATATTAATTTTTTAATTTTTAAGCCCCCGCCATAATATATATTGGATGTTATAATGGAAATATAAATAATGAAATAAGATCACCTCAATACCAAAAAATACATTTTTGAAAATCAGAGAAAAAATGCGTCAATAATTTTTTTTTTAATATTTACAAAATAAATTAATAAAAGTGCATTATTATTTAGGTTAAAAATTATTTTATCTAATATTTTGAGAGAAAAACTTATAACAAAAGAAATCAAAATACACGTGGTCTAGATGATTATTTAAAAAAAGTTGCGCAAATAAAATATTATTTTGTTTTTTATTTTATTTTTGTTTTTAATTTTTATTTTATTTATTTTGTTTTTAATTTTATTTTGTTTTTAATTTTGTTTTACAAACACATTTTAGAACTTTAAAATATAATAAAAATGAATATGATTTGGAAATTGTATGTAAAAAATAACAATCGGTGTTTTAAACAAACAAAAAAAAAATCTATTATGTCATGCACTAAAACTCCTATGAATTAAACGCGCTTGAATAAATTATCAAGTCTGTATAATGCGCCTGGAAAATTGCGTTTATTTTACATACTCAAAATACCACATAAAACGGAGAAGACGAGCTTCGACTAAAACAACAAGATTTGTTTTTCTTGGTATACATTTATTAATTAGTTTTAATCAAAAAAAATTTGCTCAGACGTTTTTTTTTAACATTCTCTTTAATATGAACACAATATGTCTCAGGACTTTAAGGCAAAAAACTTCAAAATATCAATAATACTACAGTTTGGGCAGAAAATGAGGCATTACGTTAAAATTTGGGTGTCTAAAATGGTATATTGTTGTCAAAATTGACCTGGATACATCACTAATCTTTGTTATATTTTTTTATATGTTTTTATATCTTCCCTTTAAATGGTAGCTTGAAATATAAGTTGTAAGCGAATTTAGAAATAGATTGCATTAATAATAAATCAAAACAACTTTCATACCAATTTCAAAAAAATAAAAATTAAAAATTAAAAAGCCTCTCCCTCTTTATTTTTAATTACTTGCCCTAAATATACAACCTGATTTCAAAACAGTGTGACCATAGGTGTCATTATATGCAAAAAATAATAAATTATAAAAGCAGATATAAAAAGAAACAGAAAAACTTTTATAGTTTTTTAAAAATATTTAAATATTTCACTATTTCTAGGTTAATTAAAATTATTAACTTATTCTGATTTTAAAAAACAAGATAAGTAATTTTTTGGATTTTTTTTGTTTTCTATTTTCTGAAATATCAAAAGCAGTGTTTTATGCCTACATATAAATTAATTTTTTACTTATTTGATTTTTAAAGTAAATTTTAATTATTTTGACTTAAGTACATTTTTAACACAATTTTTCAATTAACTGTTTAATTCTTTATATTGAGTTTTTAATGACCTAATTCTATATATTGAAGCTAAACAACATAAATTCAAACAATTAGCTTCCACTTTTTTAAATTCAGCATGCACTTTGCTACATGCCCACAATATGTACAGTGATATATATATTTTTTTTAGAAAAAGAAGGTCCGAATGAAATATGTTGTATCCTGTTGTTCTAATCAATCTTCTCAAAACAGTTTTTCTCCTCAAAAATATGTCACACCTTATTCTTCTCTTCAGGCTTCACATAATGGCTCTCCTCCTAAGAAAAGGATAAAAATAAAAAATAGTTCACCTCAAAAACTTTTTACTAAGCAAATGAGTGAAGAATCTAGAACACTAACTGAAAAATCTATTCTTCATAGTTCTCCTAAAGTTTTATTAAATAACTTTATGGATATATTTGATAACAAGAGTTGTTTACTTGATGAAGAACTAAAATCGTCAAAAAATGATGACTTTATAAAATTGTGTAGTGAAGAGGCTGATAACAATCCGTATATACAAAAAGTATCAAACAGACAAAATGTGTTTCTAAAAAAAATCAAGTGTGATGATCAAGAAAAGCATGACACAGATAAAAGATTGTATATAAATCAAACAAGGCGTATTAAAAAATCATTTCCACCATCTGTATTTTGGAAAAATCACACTGGCAATATTCGATTAAAAGCAATAAACATAAGTGGAAAACTTCATTTTACTGACTTTAGCAATCGACTCGTAACATTTTGCGGAAACTGTTCAAACTGTAAAAAAACAGAAGATTGCATGAAATGTAAACATTGCAAGTATGAAAAAAAATTTTTTCAATATTTTTTTTATGTTTTACCTTTTGTTTTTCTTTTTTTTGTTTGTTTTGTGTTTTGTTTTATTTAAATTAATGATACTGTTAGAACTTTTGCAGAATACCAATAGAACTTTAACACAGCGTGCATCAGATCAGCCTGCATAATACTTTAACACAGCATGCATCAGATCAGCCTGCATAACACTTTAACACAGCGTGCATTAGATCAGCCTGCATAACACTTTAACACAGCGCGCATCAGATCAACCCGCATCCAATCCAATAAATTTCATGTCAGCACAAAGAGCACCAAACTTTGCCTACATCAGATCAGCAAATTTTTACTTTTAGTTTTTTGCATCCTGTTACAAAAGGGTTAATAATTATTTGGTTATTTAAGCATTGCTTCATAAGAGCATAGCTTTAGACAATTATTATTTGCAATTAAAATTTATTTAAGTATATGGCAAATTTATGAATTGACAATATGTGTTTTATGTGCATCATTGTCATTGTAATTATGTGTTTAGTCTCTCTTATAAGGTCTCAGTGTTGTTTGGACACTGTCAGAGGATTTGGCAGCACTTTTTTTTTTTGGAATTGATAGTATCAGTTTTTTTCTTAGATTCACTAAGCAGAACATAAAATATGGTCTGAAAGGTTTTTCTTTTTTATGACTGGTGTTTCACAAATGTTTCTGTTGTTAATTTAGCAGTCTTTATTTTTATTGAGTTTTCTAAAGTTAATAACCTCTGTAAGTTTTACACCAAATTAAATTAACTTCTCCTAAATCAGTTGCTTGAAAACTGTAGGATTTAAAATTTAATTTAGAAAGTTTTTAATAACTATTCTGTTAGGCATATTATAACTTGTTTAGAGTTTTCTTTGTGCAACACTCTAGCATTTATTAGTTTTCATATATATGTATATATAAATAAGTTTTTTCTCCACTTATGTTAATTTTAACGTAACTATACTAAGACTAAACTTTCCAATTAAACTTTTATATTTGGAATAATATTAAAATATCCGTAAACATGTAAATGAATGTTTTTATCTAATAAAATGAATTAATATTATATTTTAAAACTAAGTATCATGATAATCCTGCTAAAATATCAACTAAAAAAGTGAAATCAACAGACATTTGAAAAGTAAGTTTTATTAATTTATGTATTGATGACCTTGTTATGCTTGTAATGAATGAATTTGAGAAAATTTAAAAAAATGATTTAAAAAAAAAATTTGATTTTTTGAATTGAATGAATTTTTTTAAAAATAGAAGGTTTCTAACCTGAAAAACAAATAGATTATATATATAATATACTTAAATTATGAACAAATATTTATAAACATATATATATTTTTTGCATGCTGATGCTTTTAGAGATTTAGGTTGGTTGAGGCGAGGGCCATTGCTCTTAATATATTTAAAGCTTTCTAAAAAATTTGGCAATTGGGTCTTTTCTGCAAGCTTAAATCATATGGTGTGTCTGGGAAAATTTATGAGATTATTATATCACTTTCTAACCGCTTTTTTAAAGTCATCCTCGAGGTCAAGACTCTTTTTCATTTCCAGTAACTTCCGACATATCTCAAGTATCCTGGGGATTCATGGTAAAAAAATCTGTAGTTTTCAGGCTATTTTTAAGCCATTATTTTATACTTGTCCTTTATATGTTTAAAAGTTTGTAGAGAATGTAGCTAGAAGCTAGAATGCTTGGAAATTAGTTTAGATAGCTCTTTGGTCTCTCCAATTTTTACATTTGATGGTTGATGAAATTCCTCTTATCTTTCAAACTCAATCAGAGCTTGCAGCATTTGTAGCTTTGTTTCAGCTGGGGCTTCTTTATCACCCAAGTACAAAACTCAGCTGTAGTAAAGCAAAGATCAGCTTTAGTGTAGCCATTGCATAATGCCGACCTAGATTTTGCGGGCTGTTTAACAGACTTAAGATACTGATAGGACTTTAGCTAAAGGGTAGCAAACTAGTTATTTAGTAATGCAAAATAACATTTTTTTTTTTTGCTACCATATTTTTTTTTACCTAAAAAAAAACAACACATTTTTTAATGTTTTTTTCAATAGTTGTTTTGGGTTTTGCACAAATTTTTTTGGCTTTTATAAATTCTTATTGTTTTTTATTTAATTAAAAAATATTTTTAAAAAGTTTTCAACTTTCTAAAAGATTTTAAATTTTGATTGATTTTTTTTTTAGATTTTATATTAGGTTACATTAATCAATTTTTATTAAAGTGTGAACAGAGAGTTAAATTACATTTCTCAAGTTTTATTAAAGTATCAACAGAGAGTTAAGTAATAGAGTTAATAAAATACAGATTTTTTAAAATAGTTTACTAGTGGTTGTTTTTTCAAAATTTGATAACAAAAAAAAAATATTATTTTTTATTTATCTCCAGTATGACCACAGAGTACTTAATTATTAATAATGCTCATTATTAAGTTTTCAACCTAATAACTAATATAATTAGTTTGATTATAATTTTTAATTAATGCTTGCAACATAATTTTTAATTAATGCTTGCAACATAATTTTTAATTAATGCTTGCAACACCTTTAAGTTATTATATTTGAAAGTAATTTCATAATTTATTATTAAAATTATGATAATTGTATTAATTGATTTTTCTGTTTATAAATTTTATGATAAACTGGTACATTAAAGCATTTGATAAATGATATCATACCATCATTAAATATATTTTGTTTCAAAACGATTTTCAAAAAGGTATGTTTTTTTTAATTGCTACAATAATTTATGCAATATAGTTTATAGTATTCCCTACTCATCATCCTATTAGAACTCTATCCCATCTTCATGTTTTTCTTAGTTGTATAACCTACAACTTTTCAAGTCTTCTGTAAACCATTTCCTTACTCTGAAACTCTATACTTTGTTTTCTAGTAACTTATAACTTAAGAGTGGTTGCTTGTAGCAACCACTCTTAAAAATGTTAAAAGTGAATCAGAATTAAAAAAAAAAGATTATTATCATTTTCTGTGGTTAATAAGTAAAAATTTTCGCAAATATAGAAATAAAGTTTTAAAAATCAAACCAATTAAAAACCAACCAACTAAAACTATGCAAAAGTAAATAAACCTAAGGCTAATTAATATGCATAATAAGTATATTTATTATATATACAATACTGTAAATATATTTATTATATATGTAATACTATAAATAAACTAATGCTAATTAATTAATAATTATTTATTAATTAATTAACTTGATAACTTTTGATAAATTTTGATATTTTACAATGCAGTGTTGCATAATAATATTAATCATTTACTTAGTAAAAATATTTACTTAGCTCATTTATTTTATTAACTGATACAATTGTTCTTAATTTAAAAAATGTACGGGTTAAAAAATTTTTAAAAATGTATGGGTTAAATAAAAATTTGAAGCTAATACTTTTTAGAGCAAAAAACATTTCTGCACAAAAAACAAAACAAAAAAAAGACAACTCTCTTTTACTTATATTACTTATATTAAATACTGTATTTTTCAAAATTAAAAAAAAAATTTCTTTAAATAACAGCTTTCATCTCTAAGCATTTGTTAAAGACGAGTTTGATTATGTTATAGATTTTTTTAACTAATCTTTAACATAGTAAATAATTAACAATTATAATACAATTAAATAATAATCTGTTGAAGTTTAGTTAGTTGTATATTTTACAGAGTGTTCATGTTTCTAAAAGTTGTTAAGTTCTTTGAAAATTTTTTTTTTAAAATATTACATTTAATTTTTTTTGCATTAAGCAAAAATTTAAGGAAAAAAGTTTTTATATCACATCTTGATCTTGGTTCAACATGAAGCGTCTTGATCTTGGTTCAACATAAAACATCTTGATCTTGGTTCGACATAAAGTATGTGAATGATAAAACTTCAGCACAATGTTAAATTTACATTTTTTGTTATAGTGTTATTCATAGTGTTAAATATGGTGTTATTCAGCTGAAACTTATAACTTATTCTTTTTGAACTGACTAAATCTGACATTTTCAGTTGACAACTCAATTTTCTGTCAACTGCTTTCTTTTTCATGAACTCTTTACCTTGTCTTCTGTAAATTTCCAACTTAATTAATAGTCCCTTCTACCAACTTTGTTGAGATTAAATTTTTTTTTTTTAAATAAAAAAAAGTTGAAAATAAGAAAACAGAAAAATAAAAAAGTTTTTTCTGACATGTTTTTAAGACAGAGTTTTAAAACATTACAAAATAAATTTTTGTTTTTAAGACAGAGTTTTAAAACATTACTAAATATCTTTATCATTTAAAAAATTTGCTGAATGGTCACACAAGCAGTGAATGCCTGTTAAATTAAATAAGCTGAACATCTGGCTTGTTTGACTGCAAAAATCTCATAAGCTTTCTGATTAGGGGAAACAAAGAGACTAGATTTTGAAAATTAAAATATAATAAGGAAGTGGAATTTTTGAAAATATGTAAAAAAAAAATTTCTTTAAATTGACACTGATTCTTCACAATCTAAGAACCTTCAAAAAGAGTATTCAATATTCTTCAATAGTTGAGTTCAAAGATCCTTCATGATCAGAAAGTCAGAAATTTATGGTTCTTAAAACTGGTACATGTGTAGTTTTTCTTTTATGCTTAAAACTGGCAAATGTGTAGTTTTTCTTTTTTGTTTATGTTTCTTAAAAATAGTACACATGTAATTTTTTTAAAACTGGTTTTCATATGAGGTTTTCTTGAAACTGGTATTTACCTGTAAGTTTCTAAAAACTGATTTTTACATGTATTTTAATTTAGTTTTTCGTAACTTAATTTACAGTTTTTAGTTTGCTTTAGTATTTTTATTATAGTATATTTTAATAACTTTTAAAAAGATAAGGTATATTTGAAATATCTCATTTGCTTTTAATTACTAAGTTTATGTAACTTTTAAAAAGATATGGTAAAAATAAAATATCTCATTTGCTTTTAACTTTTATTTTAACTTTTGTATCCAGTTTTAACGTTTTATTCCTAGTATTAATATAGAGTATAAATTATAATTATGTTATAATTGTTATAATTCAGTAAAATAAAAAAAATAGAACTTACTTTATTATTACATTACTTATACTTATTTAATTGGTAGTTAGACTGCATAGTGTAAACATTTAAGATTTTGTATGTTTACCATTGTTATATATTTATTACAGGAACTTAAAAGGTTATGCAATGAGATATCTTCCTTGTTAGTGAGTATTGTTATTTGATATTTAAAATTATGTTATATATATATACATATATATATATATATATATATATATATATATATATATATATATATATATATATATATATATATATATATATATATATATATATATATATATATATATATATATATATATATATATATATATATATAAAGGGCCTATTCTAGGAACAAAATTTGGGCGGCAGCTCTTCCCTATCCTGGTGAAATTTATCAGAAAATCAGTGTTTTTTCTCAAAAAAACAATATTTGCCGTAAAAAAAAAAAAAAAAAAATAGTCCTTAAATTTTTATTTGAGTGGCGCCTAAATTGGGGCCCATATACGATTGACACTTTTGAAAACAGTCTTGAATAGCCCCTGATATATATATATATATATATATATATATATATATATATATATATACACACACACACACATATTTGATGGGCTCAGTACTTTTTGGACAGGTATACTTAGCAATAACTTAAGAAACACTTAACAAATTAATTTTAATTTTTTTTTTTATAATGGCGTTCTATATACATACATTTAATTGTATTGGTGTTTTACTAATATTATTTGTATATTGGTCCCAAAATGAGTAAATGATTAAATAATCAGAAATAAATTTTGGAATTTTTTTTTCCAAAATCCAACCTAATCACATTAAAAAATTGAAAAATTGTCAAAAGTTGCTAAATCTTCATAGATTTATTGAGGCATATTTAGGTGATACAAGAAGATTTTAACTATTAAAAGAAAAAGAGGCAATGGAAAGATAAAAGGTTTTGTTGATAAAAACAAAATGAGTTCAATCATCAACCAGTCAATTACAAGAAGCCCATGCCAATCCCAAAGAGATTTTGTCAAAAAGTTAAACTGCAGTTGTTTTCTTGTTAGAAAAGCAATTAAGATCAAGGGTTTGAAGGCCAGGAACACCAAGAACACCAAGATCAAGGGTTTGAAGGAAAAAAATTCAGAGTTAATTGATTGAACATTGTTAAACTTTTTAACCAAGAAAATGACAAAATGTACTGCAAAACGTCTTACAGTTGCCCGGCCATCAATATTATTATCATTCAAAAGGTGTCTATGCGAGGGTGTACACTTGGATATTTTGTCGGTCACCAAAAGTGTGTTGCCCTTCCCTATAATTTATAAAAACTCCACTAAAAAAATTTAGTTGAGTTTTTGCATATTCCAGTTATTTTTTCTTATAGGGCTAAGTGTAGGCTAGAAATAGTTTGCATAAATAAAAGTAATATTGTAAACTATCGATAACATTATTTTTTCTACCTTAAGATAAAGCCCCCCCTAGGAAAGTTTGATTCAATTTTTTAAGACGTTATACAGCAAAAAAAAATTTTTTGTATATAGTTGGATAAACCTCTTTTTTTTTAACTGTCCTTTTAAATCTCTTCACTATGGACCTGCACTTGGCGATATATACATCATTAGTTTTTTTTACTTGAAATGTAATGTATGGCTTATTTTATATTAATATATAGGCACTCTTTTTTATAACAACAAAGTATTAAAAGATATAAAAAAACAATTTACAAATACTTTAAAATCCTTCGCTTTAAATGTGTTGTAATTATTATTTGTTACAGGACCTAAAAACTATTGATGTTTTGAAAGTATTTTAAAGTACAGTGTTGTAATTTTAAACGTTTAAAAGTTTAATCTGTAAAATAAAGTATCGTACATTAAACCGCATTAAAAATTATTTAAACTAATGTAACTAAAGTTATTGATCTAAATTCGGTATTTTAAATCGGTAAAAATTGCATTTTCTTATAATTTATTTCTTAAAACAACATTATACTTAACATAATATAATAAATAATGCAATGAATTAGTTAGCAGATAGAAATAAAAAAATTGTGTACACCTCTGTACATTTCAGCAACAAATTTAAGTATATTCAGACTGAAAAGTTTGCTCAATATATCCTTGTGTGGCAAACAATTAGCTCTTTTAACCTTAAGAGTGTGACCATACTTCTCTCGATAGACTTTGACTTTCAATTTGTACATCACTGAATGTCTTCAGAAACATATTTTGGCATTTATTAGCAAACACAGCAAGGCAGTTATATTTTGACTGGTTTTGGTTATGATCCACTAATCTAAGAAGGCAATAGAGTGGTAAAACCAAAATGGCATCAAAATCGTCCCAAAAGTTGCAAATCCTTCAAACTGCCCTGAGTAATACATTATTGAGAGTTATTGAGAGTTATTTGTCAGCAAGACAGCAAAGGATGAAAACTAAATTTAAGCAAAAATGAATAGCAGCATCAAAATAAGTCATTAAAAGCAAAACCCAGGCCATGATGATACCTACTATCAAAAAAATTTGATTACCTTCTAGGTATCCTATGAAATCTGTACAAACTGATTAAGAACTATAAATGATACAATAAATTTCATTATAAGAAAAATTTGAAAGTAATTTAAGTATTTCTTAAGTTATTGCTTTTGTTTTGTATATCTAGCCGGAAAGTATTGAGTATATATATATATATATATATATATATATATATATATATATATATATATATATATATATATATATATATATATATATATATATATATATATATATATATATATATATATATATATATATATATATGTATATATATATATATATATATATATATATATATATATATATATATATATATATATATATGTGTGTGTATATATGTATAAATTAGTAAAAATACTTATATAAGTTTCTTCTACAGTCTGTTTCACCTTTTGTAGGTTCATTTTGTAGGTTCTTCTCTGATGAACCTACAGAAGGTGTACCAGACTGTAGAAAAAATTTAGATAAGTGTTTTTACTAGTTTATTGTTGCTAGATATAAAGAATATAAAAAAGTAAATGTATAAAATTTAGGTTAGTCTAAAATAAATTTATAATGCTTTTTCAACACATAAATGATCAATTTTTTTTCCTGCGTTCTTAGCTAACTTTCACTCATTATTTAAGAACGTAAAAAAAAACATTAAAAAGAAAAAAGTCTTTAAATTTTAATTTGGGCAGTGCCCAAAAACGGTTGACACTGTCAAAAACAGTCTAGAATAGCCCCTGATATATATATATATATATTTTTTTTTAATTTTTTTTTCAATTTTGTTATTTAGGTGCCAAAAGGTTGTGATTTCATTAATGTGTGTGTGTGTATATATATATATATATATATATATATATATATATATATATATATATATATATATATATATATATATATATATATATATCTCCATACATACATACATCTTGATGCTTCTTAATCATTTTTAACTTTCTTGCATTCTTGTCAAGAGAAAAAAATAAAAAACATTTTGTTTTTTTATAGCAATAGGAGATGCATAAATCCTATTATTGGAAAACAGATTGTGATAAATAAAAAGTTATCTAAAAGAATTCCAGGTATCTTAATGTCTTGTTTTTTTTTTTTTTTAATTTGGTTTATGCAATTCTATTATATAATTATGCACAGTAATGCATATTTAGGAGAGTCAGCTCAGTCACTATTAATTTTTATGTTTCTTTTTTTTTTGTTCTGTGTTTGTTGCTTATATGCTTTCATATCTAAATTAAAATAAAAGTCAATAGGTGATTGCGGCAGGGGCAGATCTAAACCCTTTCATGTGCTGAAACTAAAGAATTAAAATATTATTTACTCTAAATTATTTAAAGTCTAATATTAGCGTGTCAAAATTATAAATATTGGCACGCTAATATTAGACTGCCAATCTTTTAATTTATTATTTATAAATAAAAAGATTTATTTATTATTATTTATAGAAAAGGTATTTTGAAAAAAAAGTTAAAACTATGCTCTGCAAAAGATGAAAAAATTGTTTTACAAAACTTCCAAATGTAAATCATACTTAGCAGGGAATGAGAAAATTGGAAAAGTTTATTGATTATTACTCACTACTAATATTTGCAATCTGTTTCAAAATAAACTCTATAGTTTAAAAATAAACTATAATAAACTATACTTTGCAACATCTGCAGCAGTTGTATCATTGGTTGCAAATGTACTTTGTTGTATCAGTAAAAAATTATCAAAAGTATTGTTCAATCATTACAAGTTCAAAATTCAAAACACAACAACAAATACACAACATAAAAATACACAACATAAAACACAAATAGTGTTTTACCAATTTAAAGCAAAAGTAGTGTAATCTTTGTTTTTTCTTTTACTTACATATATACAACCCTCAGTATTAGGGTCGGCATTCGGCAATGCTGACCTAACTGCTGACTTAAAAGTGTTTAAGATCAACAAAAAAATACCAACATATGTCGTTTCTATGTTTATCGGTAAGACCTTTGTATCAAATTTTTTTTGCAAATCTAATGTTGACCTCTAAAAGATTGAGCAAATTATTGCAGACATCATTTTTACTTATTCTGAGGGTTATATATATATATATATATATATATATATATATATATATATATATATATATATATATATATATATATATATATATATATATATATATATATATATATATGTATATATATATATATATATATATATATATATATATATATATATATGTATATACATATATATATATATATATATATATATATATATATATATATATATATGTATATACATATATATATATATATATATATATATATATATATATATATATATATATATATATTATATATATATATATATATATATATATATATATATATATATATATGTATGTATATATGTATATACATTAAGGCTAATAATAGGGTTTAATATATGTTTATAAAGAAAATACCCTAATATTAGGTATGCAATTTGTATATGTAAGGTATGCCTATGCACCAGTTTGATTTGGCTTATTATCCAATGTAGATGCATTGGCAAATGCTGATTAATTAATCGATGCCATCAGCCGATTAATCAGCCAATGGTTAAGCCGATTAATTGGTTGCTGGTTACTAATAGTATAGGTTAATAGGCTGAATCACTTCTGATGAATAGGTACATATTGAATATGTAATTTAAATATTATTATAATACCCTTAAATAAATGCATGAAACCTATTATTAGCCTTAATCGGCCTAAGCCAATGGCACATCACTAATATATATATATATATATATATATATATATATATATATATATATTATATATATATATATATATATATATATATATATATAATATATATATATATATATATATATAATATTATATATATATATTATATATATATAATATTATATATATATATTATATATATATATAATATTATATATTATATATATATAATATTATATATATATTATATATATATAATATTATATATATATATATTATATATATATATATATATAATATTATATATATATATATATATATATATATATATATATATATATATATATATATATATATATATATATATATATATATATATATATATATATATATATATATATATGTATATATATTAGCCTATCCCTTAATTTTTTTTCAACAACCAATTTTCATGCAGAGTGGCTAATAAATGGTGTAGAGGTCATATTTATATGAAAGTTCTTGATAGAAGCATTTTCGCCGATTGTTTATCAATATTTTCCTAATGTGTTGCTGTACCAAAAAAAAACACTGTGCTCAATAATTTAAGAAATGTTGTACCTAAATCATACCTAAATCATCTTTCACTGATTATGGTAGATAAATCAACACTTTGGCTATTGTAAAGTGATTTTTATTTGATCTTTGATTTTTTATTCAGTCATACAACAAATTTTATGGTTTTTACCTCATTTTGGTATCAAATGATGTTTTTATTAAATTTACTTTTACTGGAGCCTTGGATCAAACAAATCCTAAATGATTTACTTAATAGATCGGGTAAAGGACTTTCGATCTTTTGTTGTAAACAAAACTAGATCAAAATATATCAATGTGGTTTAAAAATATATATCCACATTTTTTATGTGGTTATTTTAGGAGCTTCAAGAAAACCTAATGATTGCATCACAGAGCACCGCAAAAGAGCTTTTAACTTGAAAGTTTAGGATTACTTCATGTCAAAAAAAGTCTAAAGTAGGCATCGAACCACATATCAGTGAAGGATCCAGCATTTTTTGGTGTTTGAAATAGCTAACAGACATGGCGCAAACTCCAAACATTTTGTATGTTTATACTTAAGTCAAATGATGAGGCTTTGCAAAATATTGCAATGATTGGAGGCTGGGAACAAAAAAGCCCTAAAATTTCTTCCTCCCTGCCCCAAACGCGAGACCAACAAGTTGATAAAATAACTTTTTTACTATTCTTAACTAAGTTTATATTCATCGATAAATTATAAGTTTCATAGTATTACCTTTCAGTGTTCATAAATTATGACCATATAAAGTTTAAACCCCCTCAGTTTGAGGGGGTTACAAATTTTATATGGTCATAATTTAAACAACTCTTAAAGATTGCAAAACAATACTTAAAGTTCATTGATATATATAAATTTAGTTTAGAATAACAAAAAAACTATTTTATCAACTTGCTGCTTTCACGTATGGGGCAGGGGGAATAATATTTTAGGGCTTTTTTTGTTCCCAGCTTCCAATCATAGCAACTTTTTAAAAAACATAATTATTTGACATCTCAAACACCAAAAAATTCTGGATCCATTACTGCCACAGATTTCTTGTTTCTGAAGCAAATTTGCTTCAGAATTCAGCATTTAAATGCTGCAAATGTACAATAAATATTATATACATATAAATTTTTAGCCAAAACAAATATCTTAAGAAAATATGTAAAAAAATAATTTTTAAATGTATTTTTAAGGTTCAGAGTTTGCAGTTAGGTATCGGTTCAAAATACAAATTATTAGAACTATTCAATAACAAGAAAGTGAGAAAGCAGTCACCATAGCTCCTTGAATTCACTATTCTTCTTTTTTAATAGTTTTTTACTTGAACTCTTTATTTGAAGTAGCTTCTGAAGCTTATTTAAGCTCATTACACGCTCTACATTATCTTGAAAAATTTTAAAAATATATTATATTTGTTGTTTCCATATTCGCGTTAAAAAGTATATTATATTTGGTATTTCCCAATTTATATCGTATTTGGCATTTGTCTCTTAACATGAAAAATTAAAAAATTTTTAAAACTCAACAAATACAAATTTTCAAGCAATTTCTTCTTTTTTTTATTCAAAGAAAAGTTACTATTAAGCTTTTCTCTCATCAAAAAAAAAAAAGAACGAGTGACGCAAAAAAAAAAAAAAAAAATTCTATACAACTCTTATTCATTCGAAGTTTAATTACGCCAAACTTTTCTTTCTCTTTTGTTCTACTCTTTTATAAAAAGAGCGAGCGATGAAAGAAAAACTTTTCTTTCTTAACATAAATTTATACTTTGAGATAAAATTAAATTAGAAATAAAGCAACAATGAGCAAAGCAACTAACAGATTAATCTGGGACTATTTTGATATTAATGAAAATAATCAACATAAACAACATTACCAATAACAATTATCAAATAAACAACACAATATCGCATAATTTTAGGGGCTTTTTATTTTTATTCCTTAGTCGTTCTAAATAATAAGTAAATTTAGTTCAAGTTAATATTACAATATTTACAGTTGCAATATAATAAAGAAATGATGTTTAATGTTGAACTTTTTATTTAATTATTTATTTTTTACATACATTTGTTATAAAAAACTTTCAAACCTCTGTCATTAAAATAATTTGTTTTAAATATATTTCAAAGTGATTATTCAAACTAATTTTTTCGCTTGACTTCCCGAACTATATGCAAAGCAAATTGAGACGAAATATTGTCTAACCAAAAAAAAATGCTGTTACTAATTTTATAAGGGTAATTAATGTAAAACAATTTTTTATCAGAGTCTTGATTGAGATAATAAATGTTCATAATTTATAAACATTAATTATATGGCGCAATAACAATTTATAGCAACGAACTAGCAATATTTGAGGTTTTTATCTTTTTAAATGTTAAAAATAGAAAAAAAAAACAACAGCAAATAATCAAAAAGTTTGAATAAAAATAAATAAAAATATTTCCAGAGTATCATTTGTTAAAAGTCTACCGTGACGTCAAATACTAAAACTTTTATGAATTAAACGCACTTCAAAGGAATCGCCAAAGTCTGTAGATTGCGACATATAATTTAAAGATGAGTTATTGAAAAAAATGGAGAAGGCAAGCTTTGGCTAAAACAACAACGTTAGTTTTTTACGGTATGCATTCATTATTTATTTTTAGTCAAAAAAGCTTGGTTCAAACCTTTTTTTTTAACATTATCTTTAATATGAACACAGCATGTGTTGGGAGGTTGGGATCCCTTTAATAGATTTTGCTGTGAGTTTTGATGAGTTGTTAGCAACTTTGAAAGATTTTAAAAGTTTT